GGAGCTATGGTGAGGCTTTGTGTGGGGTTCCTTCTGCCTTTAGATGGTCTTCTGCCTACAGAGCCATGCTTCCCAGACAGCCAGGTCTATAGAGAGCCTGAGCTACTTCAGTTATGGCACTGGCTGAGAGGAGGCACAGTCTACAGTTCTAAATGGGCTTCTGGATTAGTGGTCTTCAAGCATTTGGAGAAAATCCTCCTGTTATCTCCAGACAGAATTTTAAATAAAGCATCCAAACAAAAGCCCCTATTGTTCTGCTGAAAAAGGGACTAAGGCCTCTGGTCCAATTAAGCCTCCTTCACTTCCTTCTTCAAGTCCTTGCCCACAGAGTTTGCACTGAACGTCTAGAAGCTGTTTTGCAAGTTTTCCAAGTAACACATTGACAAACTGGTCATAGATAGTTTTAAGAAGGCAATTTCTGTAGCAGCAAGGTTTGTTGACTGATGATGTGACATCCAATCAAGCTACTTTTACCTCTGGAACACATCCCCATGGTTACATGTACACTTGACTTCCATGTGGTCCAAGCTTGCTCAATGGAGAAAGTTTCCTCGACACATCCACCTACAAACCCCTGAAAAACTCAGGCCTCTCCTTTGGTCTCTGCTGACCCTTAACATCTAAGATGACATGAGTGTCCCTTTACCTGCAATTAAATATAGTACTTTACATACAGACCCTACAGCACTTTTAATAATATACCCTTAACATTTTGTAACATTGGGTCCAACCTAGGCTACAAACACTACTTAACTGAATTCTGCTGATAGGACTGAAAACTCCCACCCACCCACTGATATTCTGATGTTTATGTTTGTATCTTCCTGTTTCTGTGGGGTTGAGAGATCCTGACAGAGGCAGGCGGGGGAATCTAATGTTGGACATCATTGAGATTCAGGCAATGGAATATCTATTATAAATCTTGATGTAAGGAGGGCCTATGAATCATCTAGAGAAGGTTATTTGGAAAGGAATCTAATTTTACTAGATTCAGCTTCAGCCTATCGGTAGGAGGGAACACTGTTGTCTAGTGGAGGATAATGGACATTCCTTGAAATTCCTGAAGGCCAGGCAATATGTTAGCATTTGTACATTCTGGAGCTAAAGGGCTTCATTTCCAAACAAAACTTCTAATCTTCTATTTGCAACTTGTCCAGAAAAGTAAAACCCAGTGGAAGGAAGTCAGCATTCCAGCTGTCAAAAAAAGAGACAAACTACCTAAAGTCCAGAGAGCATACCCAGGAAATATTCCAGACACTAGGACAGGGCTATCTGTTTGGAGCTGAGCACGGTGGGCAACCACACACCAAAGACAACTCTGCTTAAAGTGGGAGTTCTGGGACAGTCTGAACCAACAAACAGGGACACAGGAAACTCAGCACCAGTTAGGTTTTGAAATGGGAACAAGGACAATACGGTGACTGAAAGCAAAGAGTGGTAGATATTCAACTCTCTGGAGCCACAAGTAAGAACACAAAAGTCAGCATGAAGATTCTCTTAAAGTGGGAGCAAGAACAACATGGTGGAGAAATCTACTCATTTATAGGCGACTCAGCTGGCCAGCCTCAGGCAGAAACAAGAGATTGGCAGTAGATACTACATGTGTCTATGAAATTATCATGCATAGAGATCCATGTATCCCATGGAGTTTCACTGTACAAGAGACCCTGTACTCAGAAGCCATGATGTCATATCATGGGACACCCCAGTTCTCACTGGTCCCTACCTGTAACACAAGCTCTCATATGGTAGACACAGAGGATTCTGAGCTAAGATCAGCCTGGACTACACAGCTGGACTGTCTTCAAAATTGATTTGTAAAACCAAAGTGTTTAAGCAATACATTCTAGAAGATAAATGAGAATACTCTATAGACTCAAAAGTCACGTAATTTATTGTATTAATGTGCGTACTAAAATGAAGGTAGAGTATCTGAGTCCAAGATTTACATAAAAAATGAGTATTTGTAACACTAATATTTACAAAGGTATTTGAACCAGTTGTAGCTTTTAAAGTGTGACTTTGTTATTGACTGGCTGAGCTATTGCATTATGTGTCAGTTAACCCCACCCCACCCCAACCCAGCCACCTTTCTGGCAGAAAGGGGCTGGAGGTGATGTCTCAACTAAGAAGCAGAAGGGCTTCATTCCCTTCCAAGACTCGCTGCTTTGAAAGCCTTTATTTAGTATCTCAAAACATTACTGTTGACTGGATCCAGAAGAAAGTATCCAATCATCACTATAAACAATTAAATGTCACTAACTACTTTTAATATTATAAAAGTATATATATACTTCTATATATTATATATTATTACATATAATATTGTTATAATATATTAACAAATATAATATAACAATTGTAATATAATTATATAGTATAATAAATATATCATATATTATATAACATAATATCAATGTATTAAATATTATATAATTATGTATTATATTATTACATAATGTATATTATATAATTATTTATTATACATTATACATCATATATAATATGGGTAATATGTAATATATTACATAGAGTAATATATCATGTTATATATTGTATGCTGTATGTTATACATTAATTATTAATTATTGATTATATTAATTAATATATGTTGTATATATAACATAATATACCATTATATTATATATCATTATATTGTTAAATATAAAATATCATATATGATATAATAATTCTATATAATATATAGATATATTAATATATATTATTATATATAATTTAATATATAGTTATATTGTATAGCTATATAATTATATATAATACAATATTATATAAAAGTATATATTATTTATATATAATTCATATAGAAATACATAATATAATAATACTTTATACATAAATATATGATTTTTTTCTCAAAACGGAATTTTCATTTGGTCAAGAGCTTTACATGGACATGTAAAATACAGTCATCAAAACCAGAACAATTTGAAAACAGTTTCCAGGAGCCTAGAGACAGAGCAAGTGAGAAAGGTGTAGAGTCCTACAAATTTAAAATAAAGACACTTGGCTTTTGAGGGAAGATGGCGCTTGGGAGTAGTTTTCCCTCAGTGTCTGGCCCTTGGGCGTCATTGAATTATCACCTGGGTGATGTTGAATATAATGGCATGTAATCTCTCATGCAAGGACAAAGTGTAAAATGAAAGGCTCTGCCTTCCTGGTGGCGGATAGGACAGACTTCCTTGCCATTTCCAGAGCAATAGTGACTGCACAAGGGTAATGTGTAGCCCACAAATGACTGTCTCTGGTCGTTATCATTGCCACTCTGAAGCCCTTCTCCATTCCTCTGCTGGGAGTGATCTCCCAATTGGTGCATATTTCAAATATACACCCAACACAGTTGTGTTCTTATAATACAGCATGTCAATCATTCATTAGCACATGAAAGTAAATGGAACTGGAAAGAATTTATGTCTGAACAAAGAAAGCTCTCAACTCATGAAATACATTTCAGAGGTCAGCCTATATTTAATTTCAACTTTGTAGGAAAGTGGTTTGTCTCAATTTTACTAATGTGAATTTTGGCTTTTTTTATAATTCATAATTTAAAGTATGCAATTCTCTAAATCCTAAGTAGGACATACAGTTTATTACACTAATTCTTGTAGCAAAGGTCTTCAAACAAAATGACTTTTTGTTACTGTCTTTGTTTGTTTTTTTGAGACAGGGTCTGGCTACATAATTCAGGCTGGCTTCCAACTCCTGGTACTCTTATCTCAGAGAGAATACAGCTATGTGCCATCAAACCAGGCCCAAAACTATTTTATTCCTCTAAATTTAAGAATTTAAAGACATTTCAAAAATAACATGTCAATAATGTTTTTGTGCTAGAGTGCACATTAAGCTTTATTGGTATTAAATATTAAATTAAGTAATTGGTATTAAGTATTTTTACAAATCTATAGGCACTACTAAAATATAAATAAATAATAATGACTGGTATCAAAGTATGTTTTAAAATATTTATGTCTAGGTGTCTTCATTTTCAAACTTCACTCAGTGATTAAGAAACACTGCATTCCTGGCATCTGGGACTTTCTAGTAGTTCCTACTGTTCCCCATCCCCCACTGTTCCCATGACTCAGTGGAGATGACATTAACTGAAATACTCAACAGTGGGAAGATAGAACCTGAAGAGACTATCTCCAGTAGATAGACATGGTTTCCAGCTGAGAGATGGGGCCATGTACCCATCTCAAAATCTTTAACCCAGAATTGTTCTTGTCTAAAGGAAATATAGGAACAACAACAACAACAAAAAGAACAAAAGAAAAGAAAAAAGGAAAAAAATGGAGCAGAGACTGAAGGAAAGGCCATCCAGAGACCACCCCACCTTGGAACCCAACCCAGCCACAGACACCAAACCCCAACACTATTGCAGATGCCAAGAAAGGCTTGCTGACAGGAGCCTAGAATGGCAGTCTTCTGAGGGGCTTTTGCTAGTACCTGACTAAGACAGATGCAGACACCCACAGCCAACCATCAGACTGAGTCTGGGGAACCCAATTGAAGAGTTAGGAAATGGACTGAAGGAGGTGAAGAATATTGCAACCTCATAGGAAGGACAACAATATCAACTAACTGGACCACCCAGCACTCCCAGGGACTAAACCACCAACCAAAGAGTAGACATGGAGGGACCCACGGCCCCAGCTGCATATGTAGCAGAGGATGGCCTTATCTGGTATCAATGGGAGGGGAAGCACTTGGTCCTGTAGAGGCTTGTTGCCCCAGTGAAAGGGGATGCTAGAGGGTTAAGGCAGGAGTGGGTGGGTGGGTGGAGGAGCACCCTCTTAGAGGCAAAGAGAAGGGGGACGGGGTGGGAGTTTGCATAGGGGAGACTGGGAAGAGGGACATTTGAAATGTAAATAAATAAAATAATTAATAAAAAATACTGTCATTAAATATTTTATCAAGCAACAGAATAACAAGATAAAAGCTAAATAAAAAGTTTAAGTATTGAGATTTGAACGGATACTTACTCATATGACTACCTCTTAGAGGATATATCCTGAGTTTTTCAATAATGTCAACCACGATCAGGGACAATAGAACCAGAGATACTGGCAGATCAGGTAAGGAATCAGGCAACGAATTAGCTGAGCCACTGCTATTCTTTTGAACCTGTTTTCAGAAAGTCACATAAGCACATTTAATCAGTTTGCTTTATTCATTCTAAACACCATCAATAGTTTGCAGACCATGCTAAACTTATTGTAATTATATTTACTGAAAATTTCAAAGCTCTAGTTTTAGCTTCTCAGATTTGAACTACAAGTCTTTGAACCACTTCTAAATATGTAATGAGGATTGACACAAGGTTTCATTTAAAATAGATTCTCCTAAATGAATGCCAAAGGTACAATAATAAAATACTATGTATGTAGCTCAGTTGGTAGACCTCTTTCCTAGCACATGTGAGGCCCTGGATTTGATCCTCACTTCTGTCGCACACGTGTGCGTGTGCGTGTGTGTGTGTGTGTATCTGTCTGTCTGTCTATGTCAGTGTGTGTTTGTGTGTGTATCTGTGTGTGTTGCTTGTCTCTGTGTTTATCTATGTGTGTCTGTATGTATGTGTGTGTGCATCTGTATATGTGTAAGTGTATATGTGTGTGTGTGTGTGTGTGTGTATCTGTCTGTCTGTCCATGTCAGTATGTGTTTGTGTGTGTATCTGTGTGTGTGTTGCTTGTCTCTGTGTTTATCTATGTGTGTCTGTGTGTGTGTGCATCTGTATTTGTGTAAGTGTATATATGTATGTGTTTGTGTGTGTATCTGTGTGTGTGTTGCTTGTCTCTGTGTTTATCTATGTGTGTCTGTGTGTGTGTGCATCTGTATTTGTGTAAGTGTATATATGTGTGTGTGTGTGTGTATGTGTGTATGTGTGTGTGTGTGTGTGTCCAGTTAAAATGAAATGGGCCATTCCTTCCAATTTCCTGCTAAGCAGAGCTCTGAAAGTCCTGGGTAAGATCAGCTGAACTTTCTTCTTTATCTGCTTATGGTTTCTATAAAGAACAGACAAAACAAGCTACAGCCTGTATCATATTCATGGTGAAATATCTGAAGCTTTCTCTCAAAGACAAGACAAAGATGCTTTCATGATCAGTTCTAACCAGCTTGTCCTGGATATCTTAGAGTTCCTAATAAATCAAGAGATAATAATAAACTGCATTTAAGAATAAAAAATTAAACATCGTTCTCATAGACTGTGTGATCATATATGGAAGAAATGCTCCCAAATGGATGTATTCTTTTTAATTACTAATGACAACAAACCATAAAAATAAAAATTGTTTTAAAAGATAAAACCATTAACTGCAACTTCAGTGAGCATGTCAATTATAATGTTTATTCTAAAATGAATGTGGAAATAAAAGGGCGAAGAGTTGTAGAAGAAAGAGAAGATAGACCAATTTGATCTTCTGCTTCCATAGAACACTTATAAAGCTACAAGAATAAGCTGTGCAGTGTGAGAGAGAACAGGATAGACAAAACAGGAAGCATGGGGACAGGTCAATCACATGAACACCCAACTTGAGAAGACTCTACTGAAACAGACAATGGACTAAGCTTTTTATAAAATGATACTCAGCTCATTAGGAAAAAAGCAAAAACAAAACAAAACTTGATTAATCCCATCCCTACACAACATAACAAAACAATTTATTAAAGCTGGACTGTGGATCCAAAGGAATAGAAGGAAGAGGAGGAGGAGAAAGAGAAGGAGGAGGAGGAGGAAGAGAGGAGGAGGGAAGAGGAGGAAGAGGAGGAGAAGGAGGAAGAAGAGGAGGGGGAGAAAGGGGAAAATGAAGAGGAAGAGCAAAAGGAGGAGGAGGAAGAGGAAAAGGAGGAACAGGAAAAGGAGGAGGAAGAGAAAAGGGAGGAGGAAAAGGAGGAGGAGGTGGAAAAGAAGGAGGGGGAGAGAAAAAGGAGAAGGAGGAAGAGAAGAGGAGGAAGAGGAAGAGGAGGAGGAAGGGGAGGAGGAGGAAAATACATTTGCTAGAAGATGAGGTGAAATTTTTAGGACTTTGCACTTTAGATTCAGAAATCATCTCAGTTCACTCATAAGAGGCATTTTGCACAGATAAAAGAGTTGGCAAATCAGACAATTTTAAGCAAAACAAAACAAACAAAGCCTTTTCATCAGAAGACACTAATAAGATTGTTAAGGCAAGTGCCATGGTGAATATGCTAAAGCACATACATTTTAAGAGGGTTATAATTTGAACATGTGAACAGCACTTTCATTCCGATTTGTAAGTGATTCTCTTATTTTTGAGACTATAATATAATTATAACATTTCTTCTTCCCTCTCCTTCCTCATAATTCTTCCATGTTACTTACCCTCCACCTTGCTCTCAAATGGTCTCTTTTTCTGTAATTGTAGGGGTGTGTGTGTGTGTGTGTGTGTGTGTGTGTGTGTGTCCCCTAAATACATAAATACAACCTACTATGAAAAGTGAAAAGATGTGAAACCTCACTTATTTAGAAAAATGAAATCTTAAAGTCCAGTGAGTTTCAAAAATATGTCCCTCAAATGAGCTAAAGACAAAAGGCCAGTTCTGGTAAAGAACAGGAAGCCTAGAGATTATTCATTCTCTGCTCCTGGAGTCTGCAGACAGATGTCAGCACAGTCTTTCCTGATACTTGCTTGACATAATCAATTGTATTGGATAGTTGGATATTGTATAAAATATAAACTATCTAGTCTACTCCTGTATGTTAAATCAACTGATGCATCACACATCTGTAAAAAAAAAAAAGTTTGACCTAGATCCCTGCAAAACGTTAGCTTGAAATGGCAACAACTGAATTTTTCAAGAACAGACCTGACTGAACTGAGAATGTGGCTGAACAATAGAGTCCTCACCTCAAATGTGCAAGGCCTCAGGTTCCATCCTCAATGCAGCAGCAACAACAGCAGCAGAACAGAACTGTTCAGCTAAAATGTAAGTTGTACCACTGGGCTGGGCTGGTGTATCTCAGAGTGTATCTCAGAGATACAGAACACACTTAGCACCCACAAAGGCTCCACCCCAACACAGAAAAATAAATGAATTATAATAGCCTCAAGATGAAATATTTGCATCTGTAGCAATGAAAATAAGTAAACTACATCTGGGCATAAACATGTGAATGACCCTCACCTCATACTTTTGAATAAAATAGGAGACATACACCATTATGGAATCAATATGTGCAGTTGGAATTTGACTTCCCCTAGTAGAAAATTCAAAAGTAGGCAAATGACTCTGTTGTAAACGTCAAGATGAAGAGAGGAAAGAAAGACAGGCCTGGCAGAACCAGTAGGGATGAGGCGGCTCAGACTGCATTTCGTGACCTGAGTCTGTTTCCATAGTGATCAGTTGTGTGGCATTCTGTTGATACTATACAGCTGTGCTTCGAATAGGTTCCTGTTTATGTGGTGCACTTCAGTGTGAATTTAATAAAACAAGAAAAGACATTTATACAATGGGTGAGACATCTTAGGAAATAACAGGGAAACAGCTACCATAGCCCAGATACACTATCACTTTACGAACTGAGATTAGAACCCTTGGGACCGCCTTCCTCACCCCTCCCCACAAGTGATGATGTTCTCTGTCCCAGTATCTTGCAAGTTAATGACATCATTGGTAAAGCCTTTCCTGACTTCTATGGGAAGTGAGGGTCTTTCAACCTGTGGGTTTTTCATATGATAGTCCTGACCTATGGTCTGATTAGCTGCTGGAAAACATTTGAACCCATATTTTATCAAAACAAAATGCTATCAACAGAGTTAACATGTGCAAAATATTTATCAATAGGTGGCTTAGCATAGATAAGTGTGTAAGAATGTAGATCGACTGCCATTCTTTACTCTTTCTGACTTTGCAATATACTCTTGAATCATATACACAAGCTCAGAAGTAATATGTGTTTTAAAAACTAAATGCCAGACTATCCCTCAAATCATGGAAGTAACAATTATCTTACAATGAGCTGTGTGTGTGTGTGTGTGTGTGTGTGTGTGTGTGTGTATCAATTGGGAAGAAGATTGGAGCAAAATAAACAGCAGAAAATGATTTGGGTATGCTAATCTCTTGAATTTCAAAACCATGCCATTTTAAGATCTCATACTCTTACAGCAGAAGAAATCAAAATCGGATACCTCCGTCACTGCTATGGAGAAGCAGAAGCTGGGGAGAGTCGTGAGCACAACACACATCACCAGCACAGGTCGCCTAGCAAAGGAGAAAAAAAAAATAAGCCACAGCAATATCACGACCTGTCAACAGTTCCTGTTAACATTTTGCTAATTTTGTAGTTCCTCTTTCATTCATCTATAGCTTTTTTCTAAGAAGCTCATTGCTTCCCTATTTCCATTTCCCAAATGTTTGAGCATGGCAAAAAGTAACAATACGCAGAAAAGAAAACCAGAATTCCTTTCTCTAACAAGCAATTGAGAGGTTTCCCAAGAGCTCAAATAATTATAACCTAATGATTGAGATATAAAATAACTAACATACTGTATTTATTACAGGGAAAAATCAAATGGATGTTTGTTGTTGTTTAGCTTCTTGAATGAACAAGACAAAAGACCAAGCTTTGGGGTATGTGTGAGTGCAGACATGGAGGGACAGTGTAGCGTGTGTGTGTGGGTCAGAGGATGACTTGAGATATTGTTTGTAGTTTGGCTTCTCATTATTTTACCTCCGGGTGTGCTGGACTAACCCATGAGTTTTGGGAGTCTCCTGTCCCTGCCTCCTTACTCCCCACAAAAACACTAAATCTGGCCCTTTATGAGGGTTCTGGAGTTCAAGCCCCATGCTTGAGGGATAAGCATTTTATCCACCCAGTCATGTCACCTGCCTAACAAAGCTTTTATTTGTTACAATAAAATATTTTAAAATATTTATCTCTCCTTTCCCTGAACACCTTACCTTAACTGAATTCATATGAAGTGCTCCTCAGTATAAGAAGTATTGCATATTTAAAGTATTTATAATTTCTCCTCATTTCTGCATGCCTCTCTTATCCCAGCTTCATCTTAGAGACATAATTAACAGAAGAGAAAGAGGCCCTTCTGTACAACCAGCTAACACTGGGTACTGTGGGATTTAAAATAGGTATATCAGAAGGAATTATTTTGTTCCTTTAATAAAATAAAATATAAAGAAGGAACCTGGTTGCTTTGCTTTGTGTCTCAGATCAGAACTACATTCCTGCAGTGTGAAGCTACCTAAAGGACCATGGGATGGGGAAAAAAAAGCAAGCTAAGGGATGGTAGCTAAGCACGCGTGGGGCCCCATCCTCATTACCCGACTTCTGAAAGAGGAGAATGTCCAGAGGATTATTCCTTCCCTAAATAATTTCCCTCAATTACTGAATCCATTCCCATGCTTTTAATTACTAACCTACTTCCCCAGGGCATTCAATAATACTGTACTTTCCCCTCAGCTCTAGACTTAGACTCCAAACAGCCATCTCTACCTGAAAGATTAAGAGGGAGTCCAAAGTAGATAAATCTAAAGAGAATGAAAGTCCTCCCCCACACTCACTGTAAACCACCACCCCTCCCCCACACTCACTATAACCCACCATCCCTCCCCCACACTCACTGTAACCCAGAACCTCTTTCTCTCTGACTTCCTGCGAAGTCCAAGTCCAACCCACTCTCTGCTCACTCACGAGACAGCCTGTCCTGCGTCAGCTCCCAGTTGTAATTTTTCCTCACGGGTTTCCTGTTAGAGCTTCTATTCTTGACACCATCTTGTGTCTTCCTCTCCTGATCTCTGATTTATACTTTGGAATAGGATCTCTTGCTGACTGCGAAGCTCACCATGTCAGTTAGCCTTTGTGCCTAGTGATCTCTCTGTCCCCACCTGTCTCTGTCCCCACAGCGCTGGAGTTACAGTACACACATCCACCATGCCAAGCTTTTATGAGGGCTGGGGACTGACACTAACTTTCCCATGCTGGCACCCTTACCCAGCTTGCCACCTTCCCCAGAGTCACATTTTAAAATGTAAAACATATTTTGTCATCTTATCTCTAAATACAGGAGGCTGGGGGCAAGGGATAGGGAATTTGCTTGCGCCAGCACAAATTCAGTCTCGAGAGATGAGAAGGGTTTATATCGACAGATGGTTGACACTGATAGTTGCCCCGCAACACAAATGCATATAATACCTCTGAGCAGTACACAAAATGGTTCAGGTCATAAACTTCATCTTAAGTATACTACAATCACAGACATCTCTGGTGAACACGAAATGCATTTGAAATAAAGCTCATCCTTCTCATCCTAGCCCACGGTTTCTGTGAGAAATCCTTCCTCCTGTTTTTCCTCATTTAAAATGATCTCCCTTCCCCCTCACCCCCTACTTAACACCAGCCATCCCAGCTTTCCGGTTATCTCATGATCTCTCCACGCTGGCTTTTCCTCAGCCTCACCTCACTCTCACACTACCTGTTCCTCTTGCTAGGGGCTCCCTGACTTTCCTGTCTCTACACTGTCCCTCTGCCTGATTTGCGCACACTTGACCCCTCTGATGACCTGAAATCCTGCTGCTTTTCTTCTGGCTTTGTTGCTCATCCTCTTTCTTCATCTCACAAAACTGAAGCTATTTATTCTTTGTTTCCAGCATCTAGAATACTGTTTTCTGAATCATTTTTATGCATAAAAATCAGTTGGGAATCTATTGAATCCTCTCAGGATAAAGTCTAATTGACTAAAAATAAGATGCAGATTTTCATAACGAAGTTGAAATCATCTATAACTCTTAAAATAATTCTTTAAGTCTCCAATCTTTTTAAGAACTATGTACAATGAATTCAAGTTCTTTTGGGATTTTAAGCACAATAATTCATGTACCTACCTACTGATGTACTTCCTCAGTAGTGGAATGCTTCAAGTTTGAATGAAAGTTGCAATGACTCATAGTAACAATGTAGTCACTACTGAATATCAAATTTTAAAGAATCTGATACATCTATTAGTAGTGTGACATGAATAGATTGCATAATAAGTTATAGTTCCTGATCATTGCTGCCAAAATTCATATTATGTATCCTGCTAGCTTTCAATTACAAGATATGTATTTATTAAGTATTCCATTAGCTTGGTATGGTGTTGTAAAATAATTGCTAGATACTAATGGAATAGTTAATAAATACTAACCCTTACTTATGTTTTCTTTAATGGCTGTTAGAAATCTTCAATTACTGCCTAAGTCCTGCTTATAATTTATTAATAAGAGACATGAGTTAACTGATGTGCTTACCTAAAAGACATGATGAAGTCACAACTTAACTTCAGTACCTTGAACAAGTTTCAGTACCATGGAACACAGCCTCATTTGGAAATGGGATTTTCACACAGAATGATCCAATTAAAATAAGATGATTAGGATGGGTCCTAACTCAATATGACCAATATTTTTATAATAGAGACTAGCATAGAAAAAAAGACATGGAAACATTTGGAGAATGCCATATGGCAGTAAAGGCAGAAAGTTCAGTGATTCCCATATTAGCCAAGGAATGCTACAAACCATCTGAATCCAGCAGAGGCTAGGACAGAGGTCAGGAATGGCGGTCACTCATATCTGCCAGCATCAGTCCAACTGATACTTTGTCTTGGGCTTCTGGACTCTAATCCAGTGAATAATGAATTTATGTTGTGGATATAGCATGTGACTGAGGGCACTTTGTTCTAGCTTGTCTAGAATATAAGCCACTGGGCAAGAGATATGCTGCTGAAATGCCTGAAAATGCAGGCTCAGCTTTGGAAGTGAGTAACTGGGAACCTTGAGGTACATCAGACAAGCCTAGAACATCTCAGAAAGGTTGCTGAAAATGTAGATGGTACAGTAGATTCTGGGCAGGGCTCCGAGAAAATGTCTATGGTCTCAGAAAAAACTGACATGCTTTTGTGAACAGAAAGCTGCTAGAAGTTTGACTGGCAAGGTACTTCTAGTGTGTGATCTGGAAGGAAGGAGGTATCTTTGGTAAGATGGCAAAGAACAGGTAAATTGTTGGAAGGAAAACAGAATTTGCATATCAGTTACTTTCTCTTCACTGTGACAAATTGCCCTGCAGAAACCATGTCGGAGCAGGAAGGTTTATTTTGGCTCACAGTTTCAAAACATCAGGATGTAGAAAGTATGCTGTAGCTCATGGCAGTAGAAGGGGTAGTAGATATTTTTTACATGGCAGTGGTTAAGAAGCAGAACCTGGGGGACATATGCTCTTCATTCTCCACCTCTAGTCGCATACTTACAATAGCCAGATCTCTGTCTCCTATGATCTTCACAGCCTGGATCCAAGTGCTAAAAGCATGAGCCTATGGGAACATTCCAGATCCAAACCACGGCAACTTGCAAGCAACGAATCATATACAGCAGGGTGAAGACCTGTATTCTCGTTATTTGTGGTAAAAATTAACTAAAGAGCAATATTTTTTTTAATGTGTGGCAGAAAAGAAACTAGAACTTTAATGTTTAGAAAGCTCCTGCCCCTTTAGCCAGGCAGTAGTGACGCATGGGAGGCAGAGGCAGATGGATTTCTGAGTTTGAGGCCAGACTGGTCTACAGAGTGAGTTCCAGGACAGCCAGGGCTATACAGAGAAACCCTGTCTCGAACCCCGCCCCCCCCAAAAAAAGTTCCTGCCCCAACCATACTGAGAGGGGGTATTGAGAGGGATATTGAGAGGGGGAAGGGTGACAAAAATATGTTCAGAAGAGGAGATCGAGGCTTGGGAATTCAACCACATCAGCAGAAAGCCTTGGGCGGAAGATGGGAGACAAGGGGTAAGATGAAGGAAGGCTGTTCGGACTCTCGGGAGGAAATGAGCTGACAGAACTACTTGGCTACAAACATATCCTATTCCAAAATAGGGAAGAGTAGCTCTAACTGGTTCAGAGGCTGAACAAAATCAGGTTTCCTCTATGAATTCAGAGAGCAGAGGCTACCAACCATGAGCTAGCATCCCGATGGACCTGGAAGGTGGGTCCAGAGAACAGAGCATCCAGCCACAGAAAATTATCCTCAAGCCTTAACACTGAGTGGAACTTTCTGTCCTCAGCTGGATCGTTCTTGGAACCTATGGCTTTCCCTTTCCTGTTTACTGTTTATCTTTCAAAGAATGGCGATGCCTAGGTTGTCCCACCGTATTTTGGAGACAACGTACTTTTTAAAAGATCTGTAAGTTTTTATGGGCATGCACGTGTGTGTGCGTGCG